GGGAGGCTGTCAGAAGCAGCTGTTTGTGAGTTGGGGGAGCCTGCCTTTCACGGATTAACTGTTTGACCACTTGTGCCTGTGAGTCAGGTGGTGCCTGGGAGGTGGCCCTCACAGAGGGCCGGGTCTGCTGCAGTCAGGGTGTGGCTCGCCCTGCCCTGCTGCCAGCTGCCCTAGGTTTTATGTGAAAGCCGCACTCAGGTTAAGGGTGGTTAACTGAGTTCTTCCAAATCAGGATTCAAACTGCAAAACTTCACAGCCAAACTGGATTCTTCCTGTCTGGAGGTACTCACAAAGAATGAAGCTATCTACTTATTGAGTAACACGTGGTTCATATGTGCACTCTCAGTACTAGCCCCAAATCCTATGAAATAGGGTAGCCTCTTTTTTTGTTTTTTGGGTACTGAGGATTAAACTTGGGACCTTATGCTTAGCAAGGCAGATGGTATAGCCACTGAGCTAAATCACCAGCCCTAGGGTAGCCTCTTTTTAAAGAACAAATCAAGGGAGAACTTAGGACCTTACCTCTTAAGGTTTTGTTCAGAAAACAGAGAAAAAAATAAAACTAATTAAAGTATCTTAGCACTTGATGAAGCAAGTAAAGAAACTAGACCCCAATATCTTACGTGTCCTGAAAGGAAAACCCAGAGGCTTTGATGTGGAATGCTGGAAATAAGTACACTGTAAAAACTGCCTACAGATCAGGACTTTTCCTGTCTAGTGTCCTGTGCTCCTAAGAGATACAGCCTCTTGCCTTGTCTCAGGTGGGCAGGCAATTAGGGTTTATAAAGTGTACGTTGTTCTTCCTTCATCCCCACCTTAGTATGTTTTCTGTTGTTATAACAAAACTCCTGAATCTGGGTTATTTATGAAGAAAAGAAGTTTGTTTTGTCTCACTGTTTTGGAAGTTGGGAAAGTCCAAGGTCGGGGGCCCCTTCTGCTGAAGGCCATTTGTTTCTTCAATTCACAGTGGAAAAACAGAAGGTAAACTGGGTCCACACTAAAGAAGCAAAACACAAAGCAGCCTCCTTTTATAACTGTCTACCTTGCAGTGACTAAGCCCGTCCCAGCAAGCAAGAACCAGCTCTCAGGGATGTTAGATTTCCCTCACTTTAAGATGGCCGCTATATAAAATAGCAGCCCTCTTCCCACAATGCCCTGCTTCTCGCCTAAAATATGGCTTCTCCTACCAAAGGACAATCTTCTCCCCAACATGTCCCTCTTCCTACCAAAAGAGAAACATGATTCTTGCTACCTCCTAGCCAACTAGTTATGTTACAAGCCCCTCCTAGTGATGTCACAAGCTCCCCCAATCCCTAGCCACTACATCACTCAACCCCACCCAGCCCCGATAAACCCCAGCCCAGTCTTATGACAAGTGCTCCATCTTGGCCATATTGATTGCTTCTTCTCCTTTGTTCAGAAATGGCCCGGCAGACTGTCCCTACAACAAAGGCTTACTTGTAGTGGTTCTGGTCTGCTCTTGGTTTTGAGCGCTTTTACCTGAGGAGAAAGGCATTGACGGCTCTTAAGTACCTGCTCCTCTCCTAGACAACAATGGCCATTAAGATTCAAGATCCGTTTTGCCTGGCACCACCCACACTCAACAGGCCGTTTCACAGTGGGGTCCCCTCACTTTCTTGTGAATTTCACACAGGTTGGTTTACACAGAGGACACAGGTAGGAGACAGATCTGGGTTAAAGCCCCAGAACAAACTGTTATTACCTTTATGATCCATGGGCACATTACATCAAAGTCTGAATCTCACTTATCCCACTTATAAAAGGGGATAAAATGCCATCAAGGTAACAGCAGGACCCTCGACACCACCACAGAACGGGGGACAGGAGAATTTCAAACAGGGACGCATGCAAGGTGTGAGCAAGGGGTGAGAGGCCGAGAAGGTGGTGTGAGGACCTCATCCAGGCCTAGGGGGCAGGGAGGGAGCCTCCGGGAGGACCATGCGGCCAACTTTGGTGACTAATGTGGCAACGTTCTGGCTTCACCTCCAGGTGTCTGCCAGGCCTCCCACTGACCAAGCCTAGCGGCTCCCGGAGGACAGAGGAGAGGGTCAGGAAGGCAGAGAGGACGGGGGCGAGAAGAGGTGTGCACACAGCCGGCCACATAAGGTCGGGGCGAGGACACAGCGGGCTCAGTGGGCACGTCCCTGGCGGCTAGGCGCCTTCATCCCTCCCTCCACCTCATCCTCGCTTCCTCTCAGGCTGTGCCATTCCCTCCTTCCCAGCTGCCGGAATTCCGAGGCTGGATTCTTCCTGCCCACCTGGCTGCAGCCCAACTCGCCCCCCCCACCCCGGCCTTGACTCTTAGCACCTGCTCTTGAATCCTTGGGATTGCTGGAGAATTTCAGTCACACATTCCCAAACCTGGGGTGGGTCTGTCCCTCCGGCCCTGCCTGCTTAACCTTTCACGTCTGGAACTGCAGTGTACAGGAAAAGGCATAAACAGGTGAAACCGAGTAAATCCCACCCCTGTTACAACCTGTACTGTACTCTGGGAATGCAGCTTTGGCCACGGTTTTAACTTATTCACACAGATCTGAGATTTTGTTTTAGTCGCGAAAGATTAACATAAATCAAAAAGGAGAAACCAAGATAAGAAAAGAAGGGAATATACAAACGTGGCAGAAATGATGGCTGAAACCCAATTCTGTAACAAAGAAAAACAGAAAAACTGAAGTCCAAAAAGCCACTCAGCTTGGACATTTTAGATGTCTGAATTGTTGAACAAAGATGTTCAAGAATCATCTTCTCTTAGAGCACAACCTCAGTAACCAGGAAAATTCACTTATGTGGTATTGAGGGGAGACAATGAAATGTATATACTGTTCACCAATCACCATTATTTCTTGCACTTGGTTTTGTTGTCTCCTCGCTGAGCAGTGAGTCAGAAGTTTACATTTATTGAGTCCTTTCCAGGCTGCCATATGGAGAATGCATAGTTGAAGAAACAGATGTGCAGTCAGGCAAGCTTCAGTTGAAATTCCAGGACTAAACTGGGCTTGGTGGCGCAGGCCTGTAATCCCAGCACTCCAGAGGCTGAGGCAGGAGGATCACTGTGAGTTCAAGACCAGCCTGGGCTACATAGTGAGTTCCAGGTCAGTCTCAGCTACATAGTGAGACCCTGTCTCAAAAAACAAAAACAAAAACAAATTCCAGGACTAAATGATATCAATCTGAACATGTCATGTGATTCAAAATTACGATGAACGTTCACATTGTCATTAGGCCCCCTCAAACTCTCCCTCGCCTCAAACACACTGACCCCATCGTTCCTAAGAAGTTTCTGAAGCAGTTCTGGGAGTCCCCTTTCACACCTGTCGAGTTGGTTGTTGTTGTGGCTGCTTAGATGTCCTGCATCAATTCAAAACATTTCCCTTTCACGGTCACTTTGATTTTGAACGAGGGCCAGAAATCTCACGGCGTCAGATTGACTCACTGACAGATGAGGACACACAGTCGTGTTTTTATGAGCCTGCCTTTTTGTTTACAGAACTCAGCAGCAGAGTTCACTGTGTCCTTGATCACGGTCCAGAACTGCTCCAAAGTCGCAAGAATGATGGGGTGGCGTGTTCGAACTGAGAGGGAGTATTCTGACAGGGATTCGTGACGATGTGTTTTTCTACTGTCGTAATTTTTAAAATTTTAATATTCTACCATGTATTTTGATCACACCTGGTATAACTGTTTTGCAGTTTGGTCCGAATGGTAGGGAGGGGAGGATGAAGAACGACGGCAGATAAAAAACGATGGCACAACGTATTGCTGCAAGATGCACAAGTTACCACCCCGGCGTACAATGGGTTCCTTTACAAACCATCACTGAAGAGTGTCGCTAACATGGAGAAAGTTTCCAGGAACCTGTGAATCACTGCCTAAAGTTGACTACCCGCGAGGCTACACGGTGAACATGGTCGGCTGTGCTGTCTAAAGGGGTAGCAGCTCCGCAGTCTCCAGACCGCTCCCTCCTGTGTCCCAGCCAGGGCTCTGGCTTCTCATCTACCCTTGTTTGCAAGACCAACAGTGGAGCCCAACGGTGAGAGCCCGAGAGCGCCAGGTTAAAAGAGCTTAAGATACTGGGGGCCGGGAGCTCACAAGAATGTCAGCAGCCGGTCAAATCCCAAGCGCGGAAGCCGGATGTAACCCACTCAAATGCTTTATTTCTAGCCTTGACTCTCAAGGTGGTTTAACTACTGATTTTTTTTTAGTAATTATCAGGATATTCATATGAGATAATGTAGAACAAATCACAATAACCACACAATTCTTTCGTAAGAAAGAAAAGTGACAGAGATTTGAAGATGGTGCTCTTTAGGAGATTTGGTGGACAAATTTGAACCCGAGTTTGAGTGAGAGTGGGATTTTTTGCTTTCATGTGTCCCAGCTTTTATTTTTCAGACACCCAATAAGTGAATCATTTATATCTAGTTCAGGTCCTGATCAAAATGGTATATTCACAACTATATAAAAACAAAGGATTTTTTGTAAAAAGAGACTGGGAGGAAATATACTTACATAGCAACAGTTAACCATGGTCGCTATTTGAGTAATACAAGTACAGATAATTTTTAAAAACATTTTTTCATAGCCAGGTGTGGTGGCGCAAGCCTGTAATCCCAGCACTCTGGAGGCTGAGGCAGGAGGATCGCTGTGAGTTCGACACCAGCCTGTACTACATTGGGAGTTCCAGGACAGTCTCAACTACATAGTGAGACCCTGTCTCAAAAAAACATTTTTTCATGATAAGCATGTATCCTCTTCCAAACAAACAACCACAAAACCTGCTCATTTTAAGTCTTGCTACTGGCCACCCACGTGTACCTGCAAAGGAAACAAATATAGAGAATTTTTGAAAAGTTCTTACTCATAAACATATGAGCTACCTTGAGGTAAATCTAAGCAGAAGAGAAAAAAATTATTCTTCCAAAGGAAGCCGTAGCTTTTATAACCATGACTCTATTTCAGGCGGCCTTACAAGCGGGAGGATGCAAAACACGGCCAATCTTCACAGGCCTCCTTTCCACTGTGAAACGCCTCGCATAGTTGTCGCTGTAGGCAGAAAACGCCGTCACAAGCATGAGGCATGGGCTGCAGTGTCCACGGCTGAGGTTTGCTTTTTGGGGTTTTCCCTTGGCCGTTCACTGAGCGAGGTGGCGAAGAGCACATGTTTGAAAATCCCAGGTACGCGCTCCAGTTTCTTGAAATACAGGAAAGCGTCTGCACTCCGATCGGGCGGGCCAAGTTCCAAGCGCGTTCTTCCCTGACCCCTGCACACCGGTGCTCTAAGTTCTCCGTCTGAGCTGATCGCCTGCAGGACCAGTGAAGGCCACCTGAGGCTTCGTCAGCTTCCCGTATCTGTTCAGCCGCTACCTTCCCGATCAAGCCACTTTTCCGGAAAAATACACTAAAGTACTTGGATCTCCTCCTGTCAACTGTTCTGGGCATCCCGGGTGGCCTGAATGAACTAAAAGCTCGAAGCGGGCGGCCACAGGTAACCAGGAACATGCTTTAGACCTCTACACCCACCTGCATCTGGAAACTTAGTGTCAGTCTATTACTCTGGGAGATTTTTTTTTTTTTTTTCTTTTTTTCCTCATTGAGTTATTTTAGGAGGGAGATATTTTTTAAAAGTTGTTTTTCTGTTCACCACTGGTTTATTGCTTTTTTCTTTTCTTTTCTTTGGTTTTTTGAGACAGGGTCTCACTATGTAGTTGAGACTGACCTGAAACTCACTATGTAGCCCAGGCTGGTCTCCAGTGATCCTCCTGCCTCAGCCTCCTGAGCGCTCGGATTACAGACGTGAACCACCACGCCCAACTATTGCTTTCTTTCTGATTCCATTTTGCTCTTCCTGATGGAATATCTACTCAGCAACTGTTTTTGAACAATGCATCATCATCAGCTGGGGATGGGAGCTGAGGCCGTTCCACTGGCACTTTTGTCTGCATTTTAGCCCCCTTTTCAGGGATTGAGAAGCCTGTGTGACCGACTTGCAGGAGACTGCGTTCACTGTCAGTGCCCATCAGTCCTTAATAACGATAAAAAATTGTCAGTGTTTCACACAATTTTATCACTATCACGGGGTTATTAAAGGGTTATGTGCAGGATATAAACTTACTATTCATGGCCCACCAGGCCGGGGTTGTTCATTCCTCCTCCAAATGAGGAGCAGTGGGAAGGGCCGGGGTGAGGCCAGGCAGTGACAGAGGTGCTCACCGCAACGCCACCCCACAAGCACGGCTGCACCTGATGTGCAGGGACCGGGCGTGTTCAGTGGGGTTACATGGACCTCTGAGATCAGCCATGGGGTTTGGTTTCTCTTGTTAGAGAAGACGAAGTCTTTCCTCCCTTATCCTGGGAGCTCCTGAAGTTGAAACGAAGCTTTAATAAAATGGTTCAAACGTGCAATGTCTTTCGAAAGCAGCCTTTTGACTTAACAATGGGAAGTCTAGGACATTTTGCTGGAAGCTACTTGAAACTTCCAAAGTGAAAAGACCTCATGTTTCCATAATAATTTTAGGTGAAGAAGAAATCTCAGAGTTCAAGGTGCCAGGGACGTTTCTAAACAGTAGGAACTGACTCGGAGATGCCAATGTTCTTTCCTCTTCTTTTTTTTTTTCCTAATGAAAGCATTCAATAGAAAACTATAACTTTATAACAAAACATTTTTACTCTGAGAGGAAGGGAATTATCTCAAAATTCTAAAATTATGTTATACACTAAACTTTATAAAACCTCATTAAATAGTCTTATTTTTCTCACTTCACTCCCATTCGAGCTACCTTAACATTGAGCCTTTTAAAAAGTTTTAATACATGGGCTGTTATATACTGTGGTTTTTTGGTTTTTGTTTGAAAGAAAATCACGCTTAGACGGGGATATTTTATCCCCATTTTAAAGAAAGAAATTTAAGACAAGCAAAACTAGGTCTTATCCAAGGTTTCATAGCCAGTAAACTACACAATTAGGATTCAGTTCCAGTGTGCCTAATGTTTCTGATGGCAATGCCATTTCTCAATGCTCAGAATAATTTGTTCTCCCTTATAAAACCATTCGATTTAAAACAACATCAATATTTATTTATTTATATGTTAACTGCATTTTGAGAGAGATCCCTGACAGCAGGTGAACACTACTAGACAGATATGAACCCTCTATTTTATTTCCTTTTTCCTTAATAAGAGCTTTGCTGGGTTCGGGGTAGCTAGCAGCTTCCTGGCTTCCCCTGCTAACCGGAAATCACCAGGAGAGGATTCTGCGAAAGCTCTTTCAAAGCAGACTCACTTAGCTAAAAGGTGACCTGTTGGCCTCACCCTCTTCCCTCCTCCAATTTAGGTGATGAACTTGATGCTGGAAGAGGAGCATTCATCTTGCAACCACAAAACAGCATTTTTTGAAAGTGAAAACCACATGCCAAGGAAGTTTCTATGGAAACAAGAAACTTGGGCTGATGGTAATGTTCAGCCACCCAAAGCCAGGGTCTGCTCCTAACAGATCCCTTCACTGTTAAGAAATTCGGCCCCCCCACCCCCAATTCTTAGTATCTGGAGCAGAGCACAGTCCCTAAGTAACCAGTGATACAGTATGTCCTTTCTAAAGAATACAATAAAAGGATTGCAAATATGGCTGTACATTAAAGAATCACGAAAGTAACATTAGTTTCTCAAATGTAGGCAAGGGGCTGGGGATTTGCTCAGTGGCTCTGCCGCTTGAATCGCGAACACAAGGTCCCAAATTCAATCCCCATGTAGGCAAAGGGAACTGTCAGAGGATGGAGGTAGGATTCCTTCCAAGATGGAAACAGGGAGGAAAGGAGGAAGAGAAGGCAACTGTCACCAGAGTAGGAAAAAAAAAGGGTCAAGAGGTGCAGTGGGCAGTAAATATTAAAAGCAAAAGACACAAGCCAGGCATGGTGCACACACCCATCACTCTGGGAAGCTGAGGTGGGAGGGTCCCAAGTTTGAGCTCAGCCTGGGTAACTTACCGAGAGCCTTATCCTCAAAATAAAAAGAGACGATTCAGCTCAGTGTGAAGGCCCTGGGTTCCATCCCCAGTACCCAAAACAAACAAAAAAGCAGAAGACACAGAGGCACAGCGTCCACGTCCGCCCCGGAGCCGTGTGGGCCGGGTTGCTGGGGTCCGGGCAGGCGACCTTGGTATCTGAGCTGAGCCTCCCGGGACAGTTTGGACTCCACCCACAGCACCTGGCCCCGGCTCCCAGCCTC